ATCTGGGCCCAGCATGGGATCTGAGCTCAGTCAGGAATTGGGGCTCAGCCTGGGATCTGGGCCCAGCATGGGATCTGAGCTCAGTCAGGAATTGGTGCTCAGCCTGGGATCCGGGCTCAGCCTTGGTTGGACTCAGTTTAAGATCAGGGCTCAGTCAGGCACTGGGGCTGGGCTAAATCCAGAGTCAGGGCTCAGCAAGAGCTAAGCTCAGCCAGATTCAGGTCTCAGTTTGGGGTCAGCCTGAATTTGGGGGTTCATCTGGAATTGGGGTTAATGTAGATTGGGGCTAATCCAGGGCCAGGTGCCTGCCAGGAAGGGTCACGACACCCGCAAAGTCATTGATGATGGGCACCCCGAGGGGACACGTGCTACAGCCAGGCTCAGAGGCTCAGCCCGAGGGTGGGTCTTAGTTTGGGATTGGATTTCAGCCTGGGGTTGGGGCTCAGTTTAGGGTCAGGGCTCAGCCTGGATTTGGGGGCTCAGGGATCAGCCTGGGTTTGGGGGCTCAGCCCTAATTTGGGTCTCAGTTTGGGCTTGGAGGCTCAGTCCAGGGTCAAGGCTCAGTCTGATTTAGAGGATCAGCCTGGGGTTCTTTCAGTCCAGAGTTGGGGTTCGCCTGGGTTCAGGCCTCAGCTCATGGTTGGGGGCTCAACTGGGTACGGGGCTCAGGGATCAGCCTGGATTTGGGGCTCAACCATGGTCAAGATTGGACTCTGAGCCAGAGAGACTGAGCAAGAGACAGGAAGATGCCCAAACAGGCAGAGACCCTCAACAAGGAATAGACGGGCCGAATGCTGGGAGGGGGACGGGGAGCCCCAGCGGGGCAGGGGCACTCACAGCCTGGGCGTAGGCACTGTAGGGGCTGAGGGGCAGGGTGAGGGAGGGCGTCAGGATGCCCAGCTGGCCCACCATCTGCTGCATGCGCCGCAGCGTCCGCTCCTTGTCCGTGTCCGCAAATTTGACCACCAGGCTGGAGGAGGCGCCCTGCAGGGGGGAAAGAAGGGCAGACGTAGCCAGGACTCTGAGTCCCTGGAATCCTGCTGGCTTGGCCCCCTGGGGTGAGATGTCTCCCAGGCCACAGCCACAGGACTGGCGCCACAGGGAGAACATCCTGAAGACCAGCTCCTAGGCACCCCGTCCCCCCAGATGACTGGGCAGTCACGTGTGCATAGATGGAGAGTTCAGCCCCAGGGGCAGTGTCTGGTGCACGGGTCAGGGGGGCCCTGTCACCCACACACCGGAGAACAGGCAGGCCAGTAGCTAGAGGGGAACAATGAGGCACAGGTGGACAACCTGCAACAGTCACCCACACACCGGAGAAGAGGTGAGAATGAAGCTGCCGAAGAGGAACAATGGGGCACAGGTGGCCCACCCTGCACCTGTCACCCACGCGCCTGAGAACAGGTGAGAATCCAGCTCCGGCTTGTTGTGCCCTGCCTAGGTGGACATAGTCCAGAGCAGGAGAGAAGCAGGCTGATCTGGGCTTCAGGAAGCCACCATATGACTACGTGCGGCCCTGCGGCTCAATGGCTGCCTCCCTTCCAGGGGAGAACAGACACCGGCCCCACAAGGGAGAGGAAGCTCTGCTTGCCCGGTGCACAGGCCGACCTATGTCACTGTCACCACACCCACGGCACCTCTTCCTTCACCTCTGTGCCCTCTCTGAGGAAGATCCAGGGCTACAGCTGGCTGGGATGGTGGGACAGGCCCCATTTGTCCCTACCCCCTTCCCCTTTTCCTATCCTGCCACCATGCCAAGGGCAGCTCCACTCACCGGCATGGTCTGGCTGCCGTGCAGGGCGTGGATGGCCGCCTGTGCCTCCGTGTGAGAGGAGAACTTCACAAAGGCACAGCCTGCTCCAAGAGAAGGAGACGGGTGAGGGTGATGGGTCTCTCGGGGGAAGGGGCCACGGGACAGGGTGCTGGGAACCTGGACAGCAGTAAGCATCAGACACACTCAGCCAGAGAGACCAGCTAACTACAGTTAGACAGTCAGACGACAGAAAGACAGACAGCAATTGTTCAGACAGACAGCCGGACAACCAGACAGTAAGGTAACCTCCCAGACGGGCAGTCAGACAGTCAGACAGCCAGAAAGACGACCAGCATTTGTTCAGACAGACGGACAACTGCACAGACAGTATATCAGACAGAAACACCATCAGATAGTCAAACAGATGGCAGAAAGTCAGACAGCCACTTGTTCAGACAGACAGCTGGACAACTGAACAGAAAAATCAGACAGTAAGACAATGACACAGACGGACAGACAGACATAGAATCAGAAAGTCAGTCAACAGAAAGACAGCCAGCATTTGTTCAGAAAGACAGCTAGACAATCAGACTGTAAGGCAATGAAACAGTCATAGGGTTAGACAGTCAACCATTCATTCATTCATTCCATCAGAAAGTCATCCAGCCAGCCAGATAGCCATCTAGCCCGTCCATCAGAGTCTGCCCAACACAAGGAGGTAGACAGTGTGAGGTGGTGCACAGGCAGGCGGGCAGGTGAAGGGCATGGGCTTAGAGAACACCCACCAGCCACTGACATGAGATCAGACACTTATAATCAGACCTGCAGGATTCAAATGACAGAGACCCTCAGACCCAGACGGGCACACCCATGTGACCAGAGTCAGGCAGATGGAGATGGGACTCCACCAGACGGTGGCAGAACTAGCCAGTCAGTCAGACTCCACCAGACCCAGGCAGACCCAGACAGAGAGAGTCAGGCCGACAAAGACCCCCAGACATGGGTCCAGACAGATAGAAAACCGTGGAAGACGCAGGCAGATTTGTGGGGGTGATGAAAATTCTTTAGAACTAGGTGGTGGAGACAGTTGCACAACTTTGTGAACACCCCAAAAGCTACTGAGTTGTCTGATTTAAAAGGGCAGCTCTTCCTTAGGGCGGTGGTGAGTTTATGTTAATGGGGAAGGAACAACTCGGAAAAGGAGGGTGAGAATGGCTGCACAACGCAAAGAATGTAATTAATGTCACTGAATTGTACCTGGAGAGAGTGTTAAATTGGAGTATGTTTTGCTGTGTATATTCTCAACAACAACAACAACAAAATAAAATTTAAAAATAAATAAAAGGGTGAATCTTATGGTATGTGAATTACATGTCAGTTAAAAAAAAAAAAGAGAGCCGGTAAATGTCAGAGACCACTAGCAAGAAGAGTCAGATGGGGAGTCAGTCCCAGACAGATGAATGCAAACAGGTGGAATCAGGGAGACAGGCAGATAGAGACCACCAGACACAGGCAGATGCAGACGGGAACAGTCGCATGGATACGGCTGCAGACAGAAATAGTCATATAGAAGGAAGTGCTGACAGAACCAGAGACCAGTGGACACACTCGGTCCTAATCAGATACACACACGGGCCGGGACAGGCCAAGGCAGCTCCAGATCACGGGACACAGCCATTCCCAGACTGATACATAAAGGTAGAGTCGGTTAGACACAACAAGACACAGACAGAAGCAGTCGTGTGGACAGAGTCAGGCGGAAAGACAGCCAGACACCACCCACCAGAGGCCCTCAGAGGCAGACAAATGCAGGTAGAAACAGTCATATGGACAGAGTCAGGTGAAAAGGAGACACCACGAGAGACCCTCAGGTCCAGGCGGGAACAGTCATGTGGACAGAGTCAGGCAGAGTGACACACTCAACGCTAGTCATTACAACCCAGTGCGCAGAGGCAGGCAAACGAGTAGTTCTGGATAATTAAAAATCATTCTTAGATGCTGCAGCCATATAGGGACAGTGGATAGGCAGGCGGACAGACAGTCCACAGGACGCAGGCCAATGCACAAGGATCCAGCCACGCAGGTAGGATCAGGCAGCAGGATCAGCCATGCCCCGCCCCTCCCCGCCAGACCCCGCCCCTCCTAACCAGGCCCCACCCCGCCCCGCCCCACCCCATCCGGCCTTACCCCGCCCAGCTCCGCCCCATCCCATCCACCCAGCCCCGCCCCGAGAACCTGTCCCGCCCCACCCACCTGGCCCCCCCTCCCGCGTGCCAGGTCCCCCTGTCACCTTTGCTGCTGCCATCAGGCCCCCGGAGCACCGTGCACTCGTCGATGACCCCGAAGGGCTGGAACAGCCGCAGCACGTCCTCCTCCGACTGCTGTTTGTTCAGCATGCCTACGAACAGCTTCCGGTCCCCTGGGGCAGAGACACCACCTCAGCCGAGTCCCCAGGCCTCGGGGCCACCGGACATCTCGGGTCCCCTAGTAGAGAGTGGGGCGGCAGGGCAAGGAGAGGGGGCCCCGCTGCTGGCCCCTGTTGGGCTCCCGTCCCCTGTCCTGGGCCCCCCCACCCTCCCGGGGGCCTGACTGTCCCACCTCCAGGTTTCTACCCAGGCTGGTGGCTCCTGTCGCGATGGCCCCCCTTCAATCCCTGCCCCCCTCTCTGGCACAGATGAATCCCCCACCCCCACCCCAAGCGCTCAGACAGCCACCCACAGTGCCAGGGTTAGGGACGGCCGCGATTTCCCCTGGCCTAGGTCCTTGTCTGTCTGTCTGTCCGGCTTCTAGATCTCTCAGGCAGGGGTGAGCCGTGATGGTCCCTGTATCCTCACAGCTCCCAGCCCCCTACCCAACCTTCCCAGGGCTGGGGAGGGCCAGGCAACGTGTGTTGGGTGAGGGAGGGGTGAGTGTGCACCACTGGTCAGCTGGGGAGACCCAGGAGGCCGCCTGGGGGCGTGGGTGGGGGCCGTCAGAGGCCAAGGGCTGGGCCGGAGCCTGCCCCCCTCAGGTAATTGCTGCAGCTCGCTGGCAATGGGGGAACAGTGGCAGCTTCACCTCCCAGCGAAGTTGAGCTGGGTTGCTATGGAAACCTGTTCTCGGCAGCTGTCACTCATGGAGTGGGCGGGAGAGAGAAACAGAAGCATGGAGACTGAGTCTGGAAGAGACCGATGAGAGAAAGAGACAGTAAGAGACAAACAGAGACAGAGAGAGGGACAGAGGGCGAACCAGAGAGACAGAGGAGATGACATGAGATGAACAGAGAGAGATACGGAGGGAGAAGGACAGAGAGAAAGAGATGCAAGTCGACAGAGATAGAAACAGACAGAGACAGAAACAAAATGAGAGATAGAGCTGGAGACCTGCAGACCCTACCTCTCCACTCCCCAGTCCACACTGGCAGCCAGGGTACAGGGAGTGTGAAAGTGGCTCCCAGCCCAGCTTGGGTTTACAGAGCTCCTACACACACACTGGAGCCCTAACAACCCTGCCCCACACACCCCAGGTGGGCCACTCTCCTTCAGGCCCTGGGAGTGGGGAGGGGATATGAAATCTTCAGGAAAAACCAGGCTTGGATCCCACTGAGAACAGCTGAGGATACCCCTCCATCCAATGGGCTTGCCCTCACCCTGCGGTCCTGCGCACAGGGGCAGCCCCACGCAGACATCCAGGACCCCAGCCTGCACACCCCCATGACCCAGCCCCTCACAGTCAAGCACACACACGCCAACACACACGCCCACACATGCAGCCGCAAACACAGGCAGGCAGCGGGCGCCCCCACTGGGCACGCACACATACACCCATGCACACATCCACACACTGGCATGCTCACAGACACACATATACTCACCCAGACATGCAAACGTGCACACACACCTCCTCCCCACCATCAGAGCGCAATCCACAGCCCTTTAGGGACCCTCTGCCTCTGAGACCCCCATTATAGCACCCTGAAAGGAGTGGGGTGTTGCAAGCAGTTGGACCTGGCCAGACCACCATCTTCTGGACTGCAGCCCCTCCTGGCCTCCTGCCCCTGTGCCAGCCTGGGGCCCCTGCCTCTCCTGCAACCATGAGGTACTTGAGCAAGTACGGGATTATTGCGTGTGTTTGTGCAGGGACCCCACTGCCCCTCCTCCTCCCATCCCTCCGCCAACCGCCAGCCCTGGGGCTGAGGCTCCTGGCGGCCACGGAGAGATGACAACTACCTCCGCGGCTTTCGCTGTCCGCAGGCTTCACCTGGATCGGCCGCGCCATCTGTGGAGAGAGGGGGAAGGGGAGGCACGGTCAGCGGTGAAGGTGGCTTGGATGGGATCTCTCTCTCTGATCTGCCCACCTTCCCAGCCTCAACCCCAGCACACCCTACAGCAACTTACACCCCAGTCAAACTAAATGACCCATGGTCTCACTTCCAGGTCTTCCTTTGCTCCTGCTGTCTGGCAAACTCTTAGTCAGCCTTCAAAACCCAGCAACAATGTCCCCTCCTCCAGGAAGCCTCCCAAGTGTGAAAGACTGTTTGCAGAGATGGTCCAATGCCTTTGGTCCCTGTATGCATGCTTCTTTGTGATGTGACTTTTCAGCTCCTCCCATCAAGGGGTGGAGTCTAAGGGGTGGAAAGGAGGAGTGTGCTGTCACAGTATGGGGGGAGCAATTAGAGTCACATAACAATGTATGTATAAATTTTTGTATGGGAAAAAAGTTAAAAAATTAAAAGAAAGAAAAAAGGGGTGGAGTCTATTTCTCCACTCCCTTGAAACTAGACTTGGCCATGTGACTTGCCTTGACCAATAGGATTTGAGGGAAGTGAAGTTGTGGGAGTTCCAAGCCCAGGCCTCAAGAGACCTTGCAGTTTCCATTCTTGCCCTCTTGGAACCCTGAGACTGCCAAACCTGGGTGAGCTACTGGAGAATGAGAAACTGCGTGAGAGAGAGGCCCAGTAGACAGACAGCACCATTGCTGAGCATAGGAGTGAGCTGTCCTCGTCCGTCTACCCCAGTCAAGCCCCATCTGACCACAGCTTCATGAGTGAGCCCAGGAGAGACCCAGCAGAAGAACCGCCCAGCTGAGCCGAGCCCAGACATGCAAGCCCACAGAATCATGAACAAATAAAATGGTTATGGTTTCCAATGACTATTTTGGGGTCATTTGTTACTCAGCAGCAGCTGACTCATACACCAAGGCAGCGCTTGTAACAGCTCCTACAAGCTTTGGGTGGGAGGGACTGTCACATCTGAGTGACCAGCCTGCCATCTGGACACATTGTTTTGGACACTTCTGCCCCTACCCCAGGCACTGAAAATGACATTCAAGGAAGAAATCCTCCCTTATACCCTCTTCCAACATAGCCAGCCCTGGGTATGAGCTAACTTGGATATTTGAGAACAGACTCAAGGGATGTGGGCATGGCATTTGCTTCTCCACTGGTCCTAGGACAGAATGTTCCTACCAACCTGGTGTCTCTAGTGAACTCCTATTCATCCTTCAAAACCCAGCTCAAAAGCCCCCACCCAGGCAAACCTCCCACCCCTCTGATATCCTGCAGCCCGTATCCCTCCTGCTTCAGGGCTGGAAATGTCTATGTCTTGCTCTGTCTCCCCCCAGATGCTGGAGAGGGGGGCGGGGGCAGAGCATCACCCACACAGTGCAGGGTACATGGGGGCATCAGGAGAGCTTGAACCTCCCAAGTCTCCTCCCCTCTGAACTCCTTCCCCTTTGATTTGATTCTGTCTCCCAGACCCTGTCCCTGCTCTAAGTCCACTCTTGCACCCTGAGCCCCCTCTGAGTCCCCTCCCTCACTCTGTGTCCCCTTCCCCTGAACGCCCTCCCCTTTCTGAGTCCCTCTCCCTCTCTGAGCCCCCTCCCTCTGTAAGCCCTTCCCTTCTGGGAGCCCCTCGCCTCTCTGGGCCCAAAGCTTCCTACGCCCCCTTCCCCTCTAAGCCCCTCCCCTTCTTAACCTTTTTCCCTCCCCAGTCCCCTCCCCTCTCTGAGGCCCTCCCCCTTGGCACATCTGGGCTGCCTCAATTTGAACTCAGCCTTGGGAGCCCCAGAACCATCCAATGTCCTCAATTCCCTGGCCCAACCTTCCTGCCACCCAGCCACACTCTCAGAGGGACCCTGACCACCTGCGAAAGGAGGAACCCACGCCTCCCTTCCCCCACCCCGTCAACTGGATCCCCCCACACACACCGGATTCTCCCCGCGTGGGTACCACACCCTACTAGCTGGAGGTGGGGGAGATTATTTCAACCAGATGGGACCAGCTTCGGGGCTGCAGACAGACGAGGGTGGCAAGGTGAGGTGCGGGAGGGAGCACCTGAGCTCCAGCCTCCGACTCCCCCCCTTCCCACCTCGCCTCCGCTCGCCCTCACCTCCTCCCCTCTCCCAGCACCTTGGGCAGATGAGGATGGGGTTGCCATGGCAACGCTGATTCACCACACGGAAGCTGGCAATTGTTGTTGCCATGGAAACCGCCTCTTAGGAGCGAGCCCAGCTCCTGCCTCGCACAAAAGAGATATTTAAATATAATCTTCTGGAAAGGCATGAGCCGAGGGAGGGAGGAGGGGGCGGTCGCGGGGAGGGAGTCTACCCCCAACGACGCACCCTCCATTCCCACCCCATCCTCAGGAACAGGGGGACTTTCTCCCCATCTCCCCTGCCCGCGGCAGAGCCTGGGACCTTCCCCCTCCTACAGGGAGGCCCCTTCCCCATCCTGAGTCAGCCTGGAGGGGGCGGGATGGAGGGTCCTGGGCTGGCCAAGGGAAGCCAGGTGGGCAGCCCCCTCCTCTTCAGCCCCCCACTCCAAAGGCGAGGCTCAGAGGCCCAGCCGCCCCCTCCCCGCGGCCCCGCGGCCCGCCTTACCCACCAGCCGCCCGCCCTGGAGACGTGCGCCAGGATGGCATCCACGTGCCGCCCCTGGGCGCCCAGGCGCGCACACGCCGCACGCACGCCCGGCCCGGCACCGTGCTCTCTGCGCCCCGCACCCAGGAGGACGCTGCCAGGCGGGGAGCTGGGTCTCCCCCACCCCACCCCACCCCACCCCTCCCGTCCCGTCCCCCTGCCCGCCCATCTGGCTCTGCCCACCTCCTTCCGGCTCCGTCTCTCCATCTGTCCCACCGAGGTCTCTGCCTAATGCCCTCCCTCCCTCCTCCACCTTCTCTGGCTCCCCATCGCTGCATCCCTTCCCTGCCCCCACCCTTCCTCTTGTCATTTATTCCACAACACTCCGGGTGCTCCCCATGCTGAGTAATTTTGGAACCCCAGAGAGGACCTCCGCATAGTGGTGGGGTGGGGGGAGAAGAAGACGGAGTCAGACACAGACACTTCCCGGCATGTGGGGGTCAGGGCTGGGGAGGAGGGGGGAATCAAGAACTGAGGGAGCCTGGAGCAGAGGGCAGTGAAAGGCGGAAGGCTATCCTGGGACTGCAATGAAGATGGAAAATCTGCCATGGGTTTTGAAGTAGGAGTAGGAGTTTGATGGGGGGGGTGAGGTGGAGATGAATTCTCATGTTGGAGTAATACCGACATCCACCAACTCCTTTAATCTCCAAATAACTTTATGGGATGGAAACCTTCATTCCCATTTTACAGATGGGCAAATCAAGGCCAGAGAGAAGGGAGAGAGAAGGTCAGAAGAAGAGGCCGGGTCTCCTACTCCTTTCCTTGGGGTGCTCTGAGGACCCAGCCATCCCTCTGGCTGAGGGGTCCTGTGGGCTTGGGTTCTGGGGGCCTTGGATCTTTGGGATGGGGATGGGTATGTACCAGGTGGCTGTAACCATGGGATCCAGTCCTTGATCTGTCTGCAGCTTGCTGGGGGACTTCAGTTAAGCTGTACACCATTGGAAAAAGAGGGCCCTTTATGTCTATCCAAGGTCCCTGGGTGGCGCAAACAATTTGCTCTTAGCTGCTAACCTATAGGTTGGTAATTCGAACCCACCCAGCAGCACTATGGAAGAAAGACCTGGCAATCTGCTCCTGTAAAGATCACAGCTGAGAAAACCCTATGCAGCAGTTCTACTCTGTAACACGTAGGGCCGCCATGAGTAGGAATTGACTTGACGGCAACCAGTTTGGCTTTTTTTTTTTTTATGTCTAGCCAGGGTGTGTTTCAGATGGGGAAACTGAGGCCCCTGGGAGGAAGGACTGCAGAAGGAGTTAGACTGAGGCAGCAAGGATTCTCCTGGATTTGCACAGCTGTGCTGTTAGAAGATGTAGTGTCTGGGGGAGGGCCCCAACTGGGGTATTTCCAGATCAGGTGAAGGAGAGAGAAGCAAGGCTGACCCCCATCTGGGCCTCCTCCTCTCCCACCTGGACTCCAGCCCAGCCTCTGCCTAACACCCTGACCAAGCTCTCCCTCCCCCTGCTCTACCGCCTGTTCTGGCTCCCTATTGCCCTTGGGGGCAGAGGCCCAGCTCCTCATCCTGGCATTCGAGGCCCCTTTGCAGCTCAGCCCCAGCCATTCCTGTTCCCTCCTGCCACGCCTCCGGGACATGACTGGAACACACCCCCTTCGGCCCCCTCCTCACCCTTCAAGGCCTCCTTGAATGTCACCTCCTCCCTGAAGCCTTCCTCTCGCTCTCCATCTGCTTCTGCTTTGCCTAGGCCTTGCCTTGACAGTACCCACACCCACACACACACTGTCCCTGTTTGGGATGAGCTCCTGGGGAGGCAGGGGCTGAAGGAGACACCCACCAAGGGGCTGCAAATGACAACTGCAATAAAATGAGATGTGGATTCCAGACACGACAGGAAGCAAACTCAGGCCCTGTCTCCGAGAGCAAAGAGGGTGTGGGGCGTAGTGCCTGACCCAGGAAGTAGCCAGGAGCGTGTGCCAGACAGTGTCTACACGTCTCCAATTTGTAGGGGAGAAAACAGGCCCAGAACAAAGAAATGACCGGCTCAGAGTCACAGAGCTCGACCTGCCTGGGACTGTGAAGTTACTCAGCAAATCTTTGCCAAGCTCCTATTATACGCCAAGAACCTGACATGCCTTCCCTTATAGAATCCTCAAAGTGCCTCCGTTGTTAGGTGTCCTCGAGTCAGTTCCAACTCATAGTGACCCTACATACAGCAGAACAAAACACTGCCCGGTCCTGCGCCATCCTCACAGTCGTTGCTATGCTTGAGCCCATTGTTGCAGCCACTGTGTCAGTCCATCTTGCTGAGGGTCTTCCTCTTTTTCGCTGATCCTCTAGGCATCCCACTTTATAGATGGGAAGACTGAGGCCCAGGGAGGTCAAATCATTAGCCTTTCAGCACCA